GGATGAGCTTTCTCTTCTCGGCAAGCCCTTGGACCACGAAGATCTACTTGATTTCATCCTTGCTGGTCTTGGCGATGATTTCAAACCTGTCAAGGATGTTGTCCACGCTAAGGACTCACCCATGTCCTTCATTGAGCTTCACGAGAAGCTGTTGAATCACGAAGCCGACATCTCTGCCTTACAATCTGTCACTTCAGATTTTCCTGTCACGGCAACTGTTGCCCAACACAAGCCTCGCTCCCCTTGGCGCGGCAACTCTCGCCCTCCATATGAACCTCGTGGCTCTCGCTCTTCCTCGGGCCGTGGCTATCTCGGTAAATGCCAGCTTTGTGGTACTCAAGGCCACAGCGCTCGCTTTTGCCGCCTTCTCCGATCTCAGCCTGGTATATTGCCTTCTCCGATGTCATTTGATTCTCGCCGGTCTTCCTGGCAACCCAACGCCAACACAGCTGCTCTATCCGGCTCTGCTTCTCAGTCATGGATCTTGGACTCTGGCGCATCACGGTCGATCAAGCCGCGGACATCTCAAACAAATTAAGGATCAACTCCGTCGCTTCACCAAAGGCACCAAAAGCATCGATGAATATATGCACTTCTACAAAGTGAAAGCGGATGAGCTTTCTCTTCTCGGCAAGCCCTTGGACCACGAAGATCTACTTGATTTCATCCTTGCTGGTCTCGGCGATGATTTCAAACCTGTCAAGGATGTTGTCCACGCTAAGGACTCACCCATGTCCTTCATTGAGCTTCACGAGAAGCTGTTGAATCACGAAGCCGACATCTCTGCCTTACAATCTGTCACTTCAGATTTTCCTGTCACGGCAACTGTTGCCCAACACAAGCCTCGCTCCCCCTGGCGCGACAACTCTCGCCTTCCATATGAACCTCGTGGCTCTCGCTCTTCCTCGGGCCGTGGCTATCTCGGTAAATGCCAGCTTTGTGGTACTCAAGGCCACAGCGCTCGCTTTTGCCGCCTTCTCCGATCTCAGCCTGGTATATTGCCTTCTCCGATGTCATTGTGGCAAGAGTTTGCCAAGCATCACCAGAGGAAGCGGCAGAGGCAATCAGTGCCTGACATGAAGGAGAGACCGAGCCAAAAAGAGCAGAAAATACCAGACGATCTTGGCGGAACCAAGGACCATACTTGGGATTGGCAGTGACCGCATTGTCGACAGAGAGTGTGGCCGGTTGATTGTTTGCGGGATCCAGAAAACAGTCGAAGTTGTACCCCTGCAGAAGAGCTCGGATTTGCACGCTCCACGTGATGTAGTTCATGACCGTGAGCTTAGACACGTTGGAGACATTGATATTGAGAAGAGGATTGGCAGTGCTGCTAGAATCATAGGGGAAAACGGTATCGCTCGGAATGTCAGAGGTGTTGGAAGAGGAGTTTTCAACAGTCATGATCGAATATAAGAAGAAGAACGAGGAAGGTGGCGGTAGGGTTTGGGAAAAAAAACGTCGGTTAGACAATTTTTAACTCTGATACCATATAAGCCAAGGAAAAAGAATATTTTTGTTATTACAAATTCTACAAGAATACACATATATATACTACTCCTAAGAACATTCTAGCACATTATAATAATGATACATAATAAAACTTAGTCTAATATAAAATAAATAGTTTGTAAAATCTAGAAACAATTACCAAGCCTTGAACACACATTTCTAAATAACCAAAAACTAGGAACAAATGAATGCTCCAATAATATCCTCTAACACTTGAAGATTCGATCTTTAACTATATATAGCTGACTCACGCCGGATCTCTGTCGATACGTTACTTCTACATAGGAGAAGGGTGAGCTTGTCTCGATCGATGGATACGAGAGCGTGCCGGAGAACGACGAGGAATCGCTTGTCAAAGCTGTTTCAAACCAACCTGTATCCGTCGCCGTTGATACTAGAAGTTCAGATTTCCAGTTGTACTCAAAGGTGATTAAAGATATGTTCCAATCATGTTCATCAAACTTGTTACATTTTTCCTTAATTAATTAATCAATGGGTTCGATCATTTATATCTCTATAAGGTATGATCTCCAATCGTTGCGTCTTCACGTTCTCTCAATGTTCGTACTCTTTTAACACGTATATATATCACGTGGGCATGCAGGGTGTGTTCACCGGATACTGTGGGACTGAGCTGAACCACGGAGTGGCGGCGGTAGGGTACGGGGTGGACCCCGACGGGACCAAGTTTTGGATCGTGAAGAATTCTTGGGGACCCGAATGGGGAGAAGGAGGATACATTAGGATGGAGAGGGGGATCTCGGACAGCGAAGGAAAGTGTGGGATCGCGATGGAGGCTTCCTATCCGGTCAAGCTCTCGTCGTCGAACCCGGATGCCTCGGATGATGGCATCAAGGACGAGCTCTAGACACAACAATCATGACCACGGAATATGAGAGATGATGGTTCATGGACTCCATCTCTTTTTTATTTCATGCGTGTGTTTTTTCAGTTATTTGAACTGTCGGGTTTTAAAACGAATGAATAAATTTGTTTGTCCTTTGTTCGGTCCATGGATTGATCGTTTAAAACTTAAACGCATAAAAAAATAATATTTGGTCTAAAATATCCTTATTTATTATATAGAAAATTGTTGTGCAGAATATTTAAGTATTATTAATAAGTGGTAAATTTGGAAAAAAAATATTAAAAATTATATAAAAAAAATCAAAATGTCACTTATTTTAAAACAAAAAAAATTATTTCAAAACTTCATGTAAAATGAAACGGAGGGAGTATATCATACGAAAATTTGAGAAGTTTAATTTGAGTAACGATATTTTGGAGAAGTTAATAAATTGATTTCATGGGAAATTTAGAACTTGGAGTATGGGACATCAATGCATGTGATGGGTCAGCCAAATTCGGCGTGTGATTAGGATCTTCTCGCGTTTATTATTACATGGAAAATTGTCGGCAGGTTTCTTTTCACCTTATTTTCTGTTGTTTTGGGAATCACCAAAATAAATCATATTGTTTTTCTTTAAATGCTAAAAATAATAAATATGATTTATTAAATGATATATACTTTTTAATAAAAACCAAATCTTAACATAATTCGAATGGACTGAAGTGACATAATTATGATCAAACTAAAACTAAATCGAAACTTGAAAGGACCACAACTATATAAAAAACAATTCTAAAATATTATATATATATATGTGTGTGTGTGTGTGTGCGTGTGTGTAAAATTCCTATAATACTAGGAACTAAAATTGACAAGAAAGTATACATTAATATTATTAACGAAGATCCAAGCGTTTAACAAGATAATTTGTAAGAATTGATTATTCGATCTTCCACCAAGGAACAGCCGAACAAGATTCTTACAACTTTTGAAAAGAATCTCCGAATGGCATAATATGTTTTTCTTCCATATGTACATATTATATATATACATACATATATACATGGACATGGGGAAAAACATCATCACCATCATCAACAGCTAGAGCCCTTCTTGCAGTTGAGAGCACCGGCGGTCGTAGTTATGTCTCCGACGCGTGACGACGGTTGCGCCGAGAGGCTCGAAGCCTTTGAGTAGCTCGACGACACGTCTTTACCCGAGGCCCTGAAGAACGCTCCGTTGAGAAATAGATCTCCTTCGGACCGCCAGTTCCAGCTCTTCCATTCGTTTTCCGGTGCATCTTCGTGTTTGGTTACCTGTTTCAAAAGATTAAATAAAAAACTATAATAAATTTTTCAGGAAAAAATCTGTAAAAATACAAGAAGTTGCGAAAAATTCCAAATAAATATATAGATTTTTTCTGCCTTTAAAAGTATATCGACTATTCGAAGCTTTCGGAAAAAAGAAATAAAATTTTATGTTACATAATTTTCATAAGATGATTGAAACACATCCGTTTTCACCAACATTTCTAAAATATAGTTACATACTCCATTATTTTCAAAATATAAATATTTCAACTATTTTAACGGTGTAAATAAAAATCAGGTAGTATTTTGAATTGTTAGGTATTTCTATAAAAAAAAAAATATTTAAATAATTGATGTACCTATATGATATAATGGTGTTAGTGAAAATTCATCAGTATTTTGATTTTATGTATTTATATGATATAAAAAATTAACAATTAATGTATTTTACGATAAACGCATTCATGTATTTATTTAGAGATTTATTTATTACCTCATGATCAGTATTTTGATTGTATGTATTTATATGATATAAAAAATTAACAATTAATGTATTTTATGGTAAACGCATTCATGTATTTATTTAGAGATTTATTTATTACCTCATAATTAACGGAAGGAGTAGGAGAACAGTATCAGTTAGGTGTGGGCGATCGGATTGGATCGGGTTATTCGGATTCGGTTATTTCGGGTTCGGGTTATTCGGATTTGGAATATTTATATTCAATCGGATATATAATCTTAGTCGGTTCGGTTCGGATTTTTTCGGGTCCGGTTCGGATTTATCCAAACAAATATTCGATAAAAAAAAGTCTTCCTCGACTTGAGAAACAACTCAATCATCTGATTAGGTTCCAGTTCATCAACCACTGCTACGACAGCTAAGGCATCAACATAAGAACATCATTCATATAAAGATAAATGGCAAGTATTTGCAAATGCTCTAGTTTATGAGATTAACACCATCACGTGATTATAAACAAGTTTCAAACCCGAAGAAGATTCAGTTTGTTCACATATATATATACCATCTTGGAGGAGCGTTTGATCTGAAATTGCGCAGAGCTTGGTCAGAAAATCTCGACAGAGAGAAGCCCAGAGCTCAGTCAGGAAATCTCGACGGAGAGAAGCCCAGAGCTCGACGGAGAGGAGAAGCTCAGACCTCCGGAGAGGAGAAACCTAGAGTCAGAGCTCGACGTCGACGGAGAATCTCGGCCCTCGGGTTTGACCAGACAGGAGAAACAATGAAGGAGAGAGTTTGGCGGAGCTGGCAGAAGTTGGACGGTGCTGGCCGGAGGGGAGAAGCTCAAACCTCGTCGGAGAGGAGACACCAAGACTCAGAGCTCGACATCGATGGAGAATCTCGGCCCTCGGGTTTGAACAGATCGGAGAAACAAAGAAGGAGAGAGTCTGGCGGAGCTGGACGGGGCTGGCCGGAGCTGGCTGGAGCTGGCCAGAGCTGACCAAGCAGAAACTCGAGTCTCGACACAGGGAGGCTGCAGAGGAGATGAGTCGAAGGAGAGAACGGATGCAAAGCAATTACACACCCTAACCCTAATTAATTATCATAATTTCGGTTTAATTGGATAACCGAACCCGATCGATTATTTACCCGAACCGAACCGATTTGATCGGTTATGGAGATACACTAACCGATCGATTATTTTAGCTTAACCCGAACCGATCTGAAACCCGATTAATCGGTTCGGATTTACCCGAACCCGATTAACCCGACCCGAATGCCCACCCCTAGTATCAGTAAGGGCCAAGGGGTAAATCAACCGAAATAAAAACATTAGGGTGGAATACGATAACCTCATAATTATAGGGGATAATTAGAGCCATAAAATAAACTTGGGGGCCTTTAAGCAGTTTTCCCGATTTTATGCTAATCCTCATTAGATGAGGAAAGAAACATCCAACCACGTCGTGCGCATTAACCCTTCTTAAGCAAGTTTTTTTTTTTTTTTTTATAATGTGGAAGTTCACCGAATCTTTGACTCAACTATATCTTTTAAAGGACCGAAAAAATTCAGGTAAATGCCCCTCCCCACATTTAGATTTGAACCCATGATAAGAGTATGTTTTGCATGTTCTCCTACCATTGAACCACCCAAATTTGAGTTTTTAAAACAAGTTTTATTATTATTATTATTATTATTATTATTATTATTATTATTATTAACTTTGGCAATCTATTATTTCAATCCTATATAGTATGTAGATCTTATTAAGAGATATAGAGAGGATTCGAGAAGATTACGTAATATTTAGATTTGATTTGATTTTTATATTTTCTATATTTATATTAATTAAATAAGATATATTGTGATTCTATTTTCTGCCATAAATATTGTAATTCTATGTTGAATAATGAAAAATCCAAACGATTCTTCGTCTATTTTTCTATTAGCTAGGTCTAATCGACTATGATATCCACTGTTGTATTAATTTTATTTTAAATATTTTTTTTTCGCAACATGTTTCGTTTTTATAGTTTTTAAAATAAAAATAAGCAATTTAACAATTACATGTGGGTTTAATGAATTTAGTTTAGGAAGAAACTTAAGCATTGTGGTGTGGTATAATCTTAAAAGACTTTGAGATTGTAAAAGTCAACCATGCCACGTCACGACCACCTTCGCTGTCTTTTTTAATTTTTATAATCCCAACGGCCATAATCTTAAAATCCCCACTCCTCATTTAACTATTAATTTTTTTTTATTTAATTATTAATTATATATACCTCTTTCTTTTTTATTTCCATAAGCAACCTGTTGCTTGGTCTTTATTTCTCGTATTATTTTATTCTCCCATGTTCACTTCACATCTCCCGTTATATGTTATGATTTTCGTCTGAATATATGTAAAATACAATCCATTCCTATATATATATATATATATAACCATATTTAAAATCAATATAATATAAACTTAACTGGTTCTAATTTTATTTAAATTAAATTAATCGAATATTAAAATAATAGAGATAAAATGAAAACCGATTATTTTAAGAGAGAGAAAAAACCAATATTTTTGTTCTTATAAAGATAGACTTTAAATCAGATCAAAATTCAACATATATAACGTTTAAATATAAGTTTTTTTTAAAACAAAACAAAAATTCAAATAAAAAAAAAACAAAATTTCAGAAATGCACGTACGATAATCATATGGATAAGTTGATGTCATACTTTCCAGATGATGAAAGAGCACATCAATTTGCATCCGTTGAAGATGGGCAAAAAAACAAAAGTATCGGAAAATAAATAAAATAAAATTGGGTGTTGGATACTAAGATTATATATTTGACATCGTAAAAACTATAGAGTATCCATATTTGTATGATACACCCATCATTTTTATAAACCCTTACATTCAAACATTCGTTGCTATATATTCCATCTGTTTTGCACATATTGCTATTTAATTATTTGATACTTGTATTTGACCCAATGTATCGTGTATATGTACATATAATCTTCAAAATAAAAGTTCGGGTTCCATGAAATGTAAATTATAATGCTGTTGTAGTTAAATTATACTAATACTCGGTATCCTAAATCATCCGCCTATAAATTGCAAACACCATCACCTCTCCAAATATCAACTTCTTTTAACAAAAACGTTGAAACCCAAAATAAATCAAAAACCCAAAAAAGAAGAAGAAAAAGAGATGAAGAAACTTGTCTTAATCCTCTTTCTCTCGTCAATCTTCCTCACCCAAGCTGCTCATGGATTCGATTTCCACGAGAAAGAGTTGGAGACAGAGGAAAGCTTGTGGAAACTCTACGAGAGATGGAGGAGCCACCACTCCGTTCCTCGGAGCCTACACGAGAGAGAGAAGAGATTCAACGTGTTCAGATACAACG